ACAATTTTCAAATTAAGAAGGCCAGTGATCAAATCTGGGTGGGATACAACATCATTTGTTAAGGCCTAAGAAATCTCTCGGGTGGTGCTGTATAGAATCTTTAAGCCAGACAAAAGACCCTCTAAGCATTTTTAAGGGCCTGACTCACAGATGTTCCCTGTTCAACAATAGGGTTTCTAAGAATCTCAAGGACATTATCTCAGAGAAGTCTCATAAGGAGCCCAAAGCAGAGAAGGAGCTTATCTGGAGATAAGCTTTTGTCTAATGAAGTGGAATATAAACTAGAACACAACAAGTCCACAAAGTTTTTTTTTTGTTTTTGTTCTAAAGATTTTATTTATTTATTTTGACAGAGACAGTGAGAGAGGGAACACAAGCCGGGGTGTGGGAGAGGGAGAAGCAGGCTTCCCGCTGAGCAGAGAGCCCGATGTGGGGCTTGACCCCAGGACCCTGGAATCATGACCTGAGCTGAAGGCAGACACCCAACGACTGAGCCACCCAGGTGCCCCAAGTCCACAAAGTTTTAAAGAAATTATATCAGCCTGAACTGGAAGGAACAGCAATATAAAATGAAAAGAGCCCTTTTGATCCCTAATCTTTAACAGACAAAAAGCAAGTAAGAAAGATACTCAGCTATAAACACAGGCTGCTTTTTATGGAAGATAATGATTCAGACAGAGGAACCAAGTGCCACAGAGAACAATTCCTATGCCATAGGACTGAGTCTTAATTAAGGAACTGTGCCTGGTTAGATTCAGAATTGCCACAGACTAGTGATCACCGTGTGCCTTGTTTTCCCTGTGTTTAGATGAGCATGTCAGTTGTGGTTCTCCTATGTCTGATTCACCATTATATGTTGGGTGTGTAGGAGAGGAGACTGATAACTTGTCTAATTCATAGGTCATCAATGCCAAGAGCAAAAGCAGTCAAGATCCTGCATCAACAGAATTACACCAGGGAGATTCAGGCACACCTGAACCTAGACTTGGAGCTCATGCTGTAATAAGCTGATGATGGGAAGTCCTGAAGGTATAAACGAGTATAATTTGCATAGGCAAAGAATATAAATTATTGTGCCCAAAGGACAGTTGGTGGAAAACTGTATTTTCTAAAACTGACAACAAAGGTATCTCCCATCATATATCTTCTTATTACAAAGTAACTTTGACATTCCTTCCATTAGGAAGTGGGGTTCATGTTCTCTCCCCTTAAGTCTGAGTAGATATGGAACTGTAGTAGAAGTGATGGTCTGTGACTTTGAAGGCTAGATAATAAAAATGGTACAGCTTCCACCTGGTCCTTTTCAGATGCTTGCTCTCAGAATCTAGCCAGTATGTCATGAGGAAACCCAAGCAGTCCATGGAGAGGAAAAATGGTCCCCAGCCCATAAACCCAGCCAATCTGTAAGCTATCACCAACTTGCCAGCCATGTAGTGGGCCATCTTGAAAATGGGTCCTTTCTCCCTTAGTTGAGCAGCCTCAGCTCATACCATGTGGCACAGACAGGCTATCCCTGACAAATGAACTCTGCCAAACTTGTAGATTTGTGAACAAACTAAATGACCGATGTTCCTCTAAGACAGTAAGTTTTGGGGTGGCTTGTTAAATAACGATAGATAATGGACACAGACCTCGTCTCCTTCATGAAGTCTTTCCCAAGCTCCCGGGTGAAGTTAAATGTTCCTTTTTTCTATTCCCAAAGCACTTTGTATAACACTGCCTTAACACTTATTATACTCTTGAAATTAACTATTCACTTGTCCATCTCCATGTGAGTGCAAGAACAAGCCTGTTCCTTTTGGAAAATTAGCTCTTCAAATATATTACTTTTGCCTCATTCTCTCTCTCCTCTCTTTCTGAAGCTTTAAATAGACAAGTTAGAATTTCTCAGTGTATCCTCCAAGTCTCTTAGCTTTGCTTTCGTATTTTTCATCTCTCTCTGTGCCACATTCTGTAAAACTTCTTCTGCCCTAATTTCCAACTCACTAAAGCTCTCTTCAGCTGAATCTAATCTGCTGTTATACTTATCCACTGAGTTTTAAATTTGAGGTAGTTTTTCTCCAGGTGTAAGTGTGTGTTTGTAATAGCATGGTCATTTTTTAGCCTGCATTTGACAATTCCAATATTTGAAGTCTTTTCATGTGTGGATCTGTTCTTTCTTGTTTCTGTGATTCTGGTTTCAGGGTTTCTTTCCTTATAGACTTAATTATTGTACACTGCTAATTTTAATCAGAAAAGTATTTATAGAAATTATTTGGGACCTGGAAAAAGAGAATATTCCTCTCTAGAGGGATTACATTTGCTTCTGCTTGAAGTCTGAGGGTATTTAAACTAAACTCATGGGTTGACATTTTTTGTACCATTTGGGTGATAGAAATTTGAGGACCGATTTGTGGTAATAACACCTCAGGAATTTCTCTCCTTGTTCTTCTCATGACAAATCACCTTTCCTTGGGGTGAGGGTTAGGGGGCAGAATTATTTCTGATTACTGTAAAGTGTAGCCCCTGGAGTTCCAGCTCTATGGAGGAAGAATTTCCTATTAAAGTCTCCATGCTGGACAGAAACAGAGATTTTCTTCTCTACATAAACCTTGAGGTTTATGAGGCCTTAAGCACCAGAGTTCAACAGCAGGTTCAGAAAATTCCCTCAGGACAAAAGTGGCTTTAGAAATCCACTGGTTTCCCACCCTCACCAATGTTTTAGCCTGATTATATCTTACTAACCTATTGACCCCCAAAAGGTTCCTAATTTAAACGTTATTCAATTTATATAATTTTCTTGTCACCTTTTTAGTATTTTTCAGGTTTCCTTTCCTGTATTTTTAGCCAGAATATTTATTTATTTTCAGCAGGAGAAACGTAATCAGCCTTTAACCTGGGTGCATGTCTTTTTTATCCCTGTATCCTCAGCATACAGAACACTGCTTGGCACATGAAGGAACTCCATTAGTTTTTGATTGTTTAATAAATAAATCTGTGTCTTCTTTGACTCTTTCATTCCCCCTTCACTACCCCCAATACACCCCTACTCTCTATGCCCTAATTAAAGTTCTTTTACATTTTCATTCATGTGTGCCTTCCATTTTCCTATACTAGCTGAGCTTTCCCCCGACTTCTGCAGTATTTCCTGGTTACGTCTCCTATGGAAGAGTTTTCATTCTTATCATAGTTTGGAATCAGCACGGTCTTCACTCTCCATGACTGCTTCTGATCACCCACTATTCTGCCTTTATCCAAAATCTGCTGCTTTTCCAAAGATTATGCTATCCTATTATAACATTCTTTTTCTGGTTTTATTGCTACCATATGCAGACTTCCAGTCATACCTCCACATTTCTTGAGAATTTCACTATGTGGTTCACGATTTCAACTATACTTCATTCCCCAATATATTTCCGTATAACAGAGAATTTAAGAGTACAGAGCAGACAACCCAAGTGCATGTCTACCCCTTATTAACATAGAATTGTGGGAAGTTACCTAATATTTCAGTGTCACAGTTTTTTCATCTGTCAAATGGTAATAATGATATTATTACCTTAACAGTGTCTGGCACTTAGTAAATGCTCAATAAATTTTAACTGTTTTCTTTATTATGCTCTTACCTTATCCTAAAAATTTTCCTTCTGCATGCTTATGATTCATACAACAGCCTAACCTCAAGGCTGCTCAAAAACCTAGTTGTCCACTTCTATAAAATTTCTCAGCTTATTATCTAAAATGGCATTTCTGAATTTTACTTTAACCCTTCTCAAGATCTGCCCCTTCTTTTCATCCATTGACTTTTTATCTTAACCCAGAAATATAATCCATTTGGAAATACATATTTCAGAATTTCTCTATATTCATAACCATGCTCAATCTTCTCCTCTTTCTGGGGGAAACAATGTCTGTGTTTTCTTAGACTAGCTCAGTCTTCTTTACCCATTTTATTCTTTCTTCTTATTTTTTATCTTTAATCTCTTATTAGTCTCCACCAGCAAATTCCTCTAACCTCTAAACTTGGCCAAGGCTTACTTAACCTAAAATAAACTAGCTAATTCTCCCTTGAACCTCTTTCTTCTCATGTTACTATCATAACTCTTCTAATCTTCTTGAATGGGTAATCTGTACTCTCCACTCCCATTTTCTAGTGTCTCACTATTAACTTCCAGAAATCTGGTTTTATCTCATTGCTACTAAAACTTACTTTTCCAAAATTAAGCAGCAATTAGATTGTCAAACCTAAAATGCCTTTCTTTAGAGTTTCTCTTACAACTCCTTTGTAGCACTGAATATGTTGACCACCCACTTGAAACGTTCCTCCATCATTAGATTTCATGTTAATAGCCTGCATTCTTTCTTAGATGCAATGCTGAACAGAAAGCAGGTATGATGATAGTCAAACATTCATGTTTAAGAAAGGCCCCCTCATGAACTGATCTTAAATAAGACATTTAGCTCCACTTTCCTTATCAGTAAAATGGGCATAATATTTACTTACCTCATGCACTAATTTATAATGCAGATAAATAAAATAATGGATCTGAAAATACCATAAAACATATAAAATATACAAAATACCTGAGTACATTTCAGTAACCTGAAAACAGGATGCAGAAAAGTATATTAAAAGACTCTTGCTAATAAATTTGCTATTAAGTTCTGAAGGACCCCAAGCTTTGTGTCTGACCTAGAGGTTTTTCACTATTGCAAGGTTTCAAAGTACCTTCACCAAGGTAGTACCACTCCTTGAGAGCTCTTGTCAGGAAGTTAAGAGACATTATACCAAAAACTCTGACCTACCTGGACTCCCTTCAAAATGCAAAATAAAATAAAATAAAATAAAAAGATTAGTTTGACTATATTGGGGTACTTTAATGTTTAAAATATAGTGGAAAATCAAAATATTAATGATACATCTTCACATATACAAGCATGAAAATTGAATTGGTCCAATTGTGAGTAAGAGATATTACCAGTTCTAAAAAATATTTAAAAAATTTTTAAAGAAATATTACCAGTTCTTGGAGAAGGGGCCCTTGCAATTTCTAAGGAGCATGGTTTTTTTGTAACAGCTATGTCCGTGAGATCACATAGAAAGTTCTCATTTTCTGAAGGAAATGTATCCAGAGAAGCAGATGGTACAATTTCCATAGTGTAATTCCTCTTCTTTGGATAGGACTCCTGAAAGGAAGGAGAAAAAATAAAAATAGCTTTGTGATAAAGACACAGCTTGTTTGATTTATAAAAACTAGAAAAGATAATCAGATTCATCAGTTCTTCCAAAAGTGATTAAGAGGTGCTGATTCATCTGTTTGAATAAGTTATGCCATCATGTAACCCCAATATCATCAGTGATCTTTCTGGAAGGGTCCTGACAGTTCGGTTCCCCTGAATTTATCACTGACATAGTAAAGTTCATGATCTCTTGTCATGATCTCTTTTTGTAGTATATGGCAATTTTCTAGTTGTGGCATAAATGGTTGCTTAACTAATCAATATTCATTCCCAAGACTCTACTCCCTTGCCTGCTTCCTAGAGATAGCCAGAGCCATATAACTCAATTTTGGGCAGTTGGATGAAAGGGAGACTTCTGGGAAAATATTTTTTCCCCAGAGGAAAGACATGCAATGGGGATCTTGTAGAGCTCGGCCATCCTCAGGTTCCTCTCTCTGGATGCAGTTTGGATGTCTGGAGGTCGGACAGGCATGTTGTGACCATAAGGCAATAAGCTTAAGATCAAAAAGGTAACAGGCTAAGAATGCAACAGAAGGATAAAAAGAGCCTGGGACATTGATGATATCACTGAGTTACGGAAAGAGCCCCAGGACTAGTTAGTTACTCCAGGCTTCTTAAGTACAAACGTTCTTATATTGTTTGAGCCATTGCTAATAAAGTTTTTTGTCATTTAGAAGTAAAAGTATTCCCATATAACACACTAGTATTTTTTCTTTGTGAATACTGTTAACTAATATACTAAAGTTTCTCTTTTCAGGTTGGGATAAAACTAAGGTCCAATTCTATACTACTGATTCTGTGATGTATTCTAAAAGTAGGAATTCATTTCATTTCACAAAATCTTAATTTCTTATACAAGGTATTAATTTGTCAACAAATATTTATTGGGCATCTGTCATATATACTTAGGACTACGCTAAGTGATAGAGATAGATTATTATTATCTAAGAAGATATAACCCTTGCCCTCAGAAAGACCACAGTTTACTAGAGAAGAAAACAGATATCTGCATAATGAATTTCACAATTAATCATGCTTTTTGATGTTTTTTACCTTTACAAAGCATAATTAACTATCAAAAGAAAAAGATAAAAAAATAAATTCATTTTCAAAAAATCTTCCAAGATATATCCAAGTGTTAGTAAAGATTTAGTATAAGCTCCTATTTTTTCTATAGTGATATTTACAGTACTGTAGAGTAAGTATTCAAGGTCAGTGTAATTGCTTTCAGACCATACCAGACCCTCACACATCAGAGAGTCAATTATGTTCACTCTATCCTATTGAAAGCAGGAAATTGGGAGTAATTTATTTTTAACAACAAAGGGTGACAAAGTAGAAAGCATCCGGAGGAAAGCAATCAAGATGGTGTATGATTTAAAACCATGTCACAGATGAAATGATGAAAGGACCTGCAGTGTTCGATCCTGGAGAAGCCTTACAGCAGCATAATAGTTTTCTCAACATATTTGAACAGCTATCTCTAAAGAGCTATCCCACAAAGCAGAGAAAGGGAAAAAGCTGCTGTGGTAGATTTATTCCGAAGTTCTTAAAGGCAGAACAACAACCAATGTTTATAAGTCAAAAGGGGCAAATTTGAATCAATAAAAAAAAAAACAATGTTCTATGAATTAATAATATTGGTTACCTTTTAAATAAAAATGCACTAATTTAACAGTAGCTGAAAAATACACTATAAAGCAACAGAGGAAACTCCTCATTACTGGAAATCTTTCAGTAGAATGATCTATTGATAAAATTATCTATAAAACACATTGTAGGGGCGCCTGGGTGGCTCAGTCAGTTAAGCATCTGCCTTAGGCTCAGGTGATGATCCTTGGGTCCTGGAATCAAGTCCCTCATTGGGCTCCCTGCTCAGCAGGGAGCCTGACTCTCCCTCTACACACTCCCCTCCCCCCCACCCTGCTCATGATCTCTCTCTAACTCTCAAATAAGTAAGTAAATAACTCTTTAAAAAAAAAACCCACACATTGTAAAGTGAATATATCAGATGACTGTAAATTCCATGAACGCTGGAATTTGTCTTGATCACCACTCTGTCCCCAGAATCTAGTACAAGTTCTACCACATAGTAGGTGTTCAATAAATCTAACTACCAGCTAGGGAAATTATTATTCCTTGTTCAGATATAAATACTTTGCTTTTTAGTTTGGTTATTATTATTGTTTAATGTTATTGCTTTCTGTTTTGCATATCAAAAGTGAAAAACCTGAGATTATGAAAATAAGATTATAAAGAGTCATGAAAAAAGTCTCTAGTATAAACCCTAGTTCATCCTAAAGTCAGAACAACCTGTTAATCAGAACAACCCATTCTTCCTGGGTTTGGTTAGATTGAAATTGTAGTCTGTTTGTCAAGAAATACAAAGACTTAAAGGCCTTGAAAAAAATACTCTGAAATTTAACCACACAGGATGAATTACTTTGCTGTCCCCTTAAAAATGAAGTATATTGTTTATTACAGAAATATTAGAAAATATAAAGAAAGAGAAAAAAATCACATGAAAATGCAGCATGCTCAGATAATTAATAGTAACATTTTGGTGTATATCCTCCCAGACTGCTTCCCTCTGTATGTGTGTGTGGACATGCGGGGGTGTGCAAAGGAAAGAAAAAAAAATATTTTAAACAACAGTGAAGTGCACCCTTTTCTGCTTCTGAAGAAAGTGCCATTACTTCTAATCGAAGTCTACAGTACACGGTTTCCTTATGGAAAGTGAGAGCCCCAAGGGAAGATGGTGAAACAAAGATAGCAAAACAGTGCTTTCTTATTCAACTATTTCATATTGTCAAAAAAAAAGGTCCACTTAACAAAATATCTGACTAGTATCCCTCAAAAGAGGATGGATATGGTGGTAGAATAAAATAATAAAATGAATCTGTGCGTGTGCACTACTCAGTTTAGAACATTACCATTGAAACCCACCCCTTCCCACCTGTGTCCCCCTTTCCAGTCCCTCTCCCTCCGTCCCTAACCAGGGCTAACTCCTGTTCTGAATTTCATGTTTATAATTCCTTGGATTGTTATTGAAATTTAACTATATATGTAAGTATTAATAAAGAATTGTTTCATACTATATGCTTTTGAATTTCATAAGAATAGTACAAAATATTATTGCTCTTCTATGGTTTTTTCAAACACTATTATGTTTCTGAGTTTCATTTATTTTCAATGTGGTATAGGAGTTCACTGTATAGGTGTACAATAATTCACTTACAGATTCTCCTGACAATGGACTTTTAAACATTTCCTAGGTATTGTGTTATTAAGAACAATTTACTAGTAACATTTCTGAACATGTCAGTACCCTGGTACAAGTAACCAGGGTATGTAACTTATCCTAGTAGACATGGGGCAGAGAGTCAAGAATAGACACAAAGTGAGAAAAATGAATGAAATAAAAAGTTCTACAGATACAGGAGTTTGCAGCAAGAGGTGATCATGAGAACCAAGACTGGATATCCTGTAGCTTCTATAGAAATCTTGAGGAGGACATTGCATTTTCCCACGCAAAGTGGGTTGAAGAGATTTTTCTATAAATCCTATATGAAGGTATTATATATAAATATGTATATGTATTATACATAATGCCTTATAATCTGATATAGATTTGCTTCTAATAATGCATTGCAAACAAGTTTCAATTACAAATATGTGTCTACATGATAAATCTAAGGTTAAGTCTCAATATACACATGGTCCTGATTTATTTAGTTAATCCAATCATATTGAAATTTCAATGTTTTCCTTTTAAGGGAATATTCTTGTGCATGTACCTTTGTTTACATGTTCAACTATTTCTTTTGAAATAGAATTCCTGGATTGCATTGAACGTGTGTATTGCTTTGGGTAGCACAGACATTTTAACAATATTTGTTCTTCCAATCCATGAGCATGGAATGTTTTTCCATTTCTTTGTATCCTCCTCAATTTCTTTCATATGTGTTCTATAGTTTTCAGAGTACAGATCCTTTACCTCTTTGGTTAGGTTTATTCCTAGGTATTATGACTTTTGGTGCAATGGTAAATGGGATCGATTCCTTAATTTCTCTTTCATCTCATTGTTAGTGTACAGAAATGCAACTGATTTCTGTGCATTGATTTTATATCCTGCCACATTGCTGAATTCCTGTATGAGTTCTAGCATCTGCGGAGAGTGAAAGTTTGACCTCTTCTTTGCCGATTTGGTTGCCTTTTATCTCTCTTTGTTGTCTGATTGCTGAGGCTAGGACTTCTAGTACTATGTTGAACAATAGTGGTGAGAGTAGACATCCTTGTTGTGTTCCTGACCTTAGGAGAAAGCTCTCAGTTCTTCCCCATTGAGAATGGTATTTGCTGTGGGCTTTTCATATATGGCTTTTATGATATTGAAGTATGTTCCTTCTATCCCTACACTGCGGAGAGTTTTAATCAAGAAAGGATGCTGTATTTTGTCAAATGCTTTTCCTGTATCACTCTGGAAAGCAGTATGGAGGTTCCTCAAAAAGTTAAAAATAGAGCTACCCTACAATCCAGCAATTGCACTACTAGGTATTTGCCCAAAGGATACAAACATAGTGATCTGAAGGGGCACCTACACCCCAATGTTTATAGCAGCAATGTCCATAATAGCCAAAATATGGAAAGAGCCCAGATGTCCATCGACAGATGAATGGATAAAGAAAATGTGGTGTGTGTGTATGTGTGTATATATATACACACATACACAATGGAATATTACTCAGCCACCAAAAAGATGAAATCTTACTATTTGCAACCATGTGGATAGAACTAGAGGGTATTATGCTAAGCAAAATAAGTCAATCAGAGAAAGACAACTATCATATGATCTCACTGATATGTGGAATTTAGAAACAAGACAGAGGATCATAGGACAAGGGAGGGAAAAATAAAATGAGACAAAATCAGAGAGGGAGGTAAACAAT